TTCTTTTCAACTATTTTTTATTTTCTAAGATAATTTTCTACAATATTTGAAGTAAGATATTCTATAATATAATAATTTATTTATTCTTTTTATCTATTAGTCATGTTACATCATAATAGTGTATTTACAGATCACAAGAACCTCAAGTACTTCATGTCGACATGCATTTTGAATTGTTGCCAAGTTTGTTGGAGCATGACTTATTTAAGATTTTATTTCAATATTATTTATTGATTTGAAAAATAACAAGAATTATCAGGTGCCCTTTCTAGATATTCTTATGTCACACCAAAAGAAGGAGATTCATTTTTTAATTAATAAAGAATAATTCTCTTGAAACCAAAGTATTTTCACTTTTGAATAATAAAATTATCATTGACTATTGATTCAACCTTTGTCAAGCAAATTCAATCAAGTATGTCTTTTGATCCTCTTGTGTATAATAGTAAAAATAATTCTTTTAAATCTCATAATACTTCCAAGTTTGAGTTTAAAAATAATATATTTTATTTTGAGGGACAATTATATATTCCAAAAGGTGGAGCATAATTACATATTATTTAAGCTCGTCATGACTTTTTAATAACTAAATATTTTGGATGCAAGAAGACTTTGGAACTAACATCAAGAGATTTTTAGTGGCCTCAAATATAAAAGACAATTGAAGACTTTGTACAATCATGTAATATTTGTTCAAGTTCCAAAACTTCCCGCTAGCAATTTTATGGACTTTTTCAGCCATTACTTATTCTAGAAAAACCATGGTCTTCTATTTCTATGGATTTTATAATAAATCTTTCAATCTAAATTTTATATAATTATATATTTGTAATAATAGATCCTTTTATCAAGATTGCATATATAATCTTGCAGCAAAAGATTTGGCAAATTAATTTTCAAAGTTATATGCAACAATGAAAGTGTAGTTAAAGAGAACTCAAAAATGACAAAAGCTCAATACGGTTGCCTATCGCAAGGAATAACCACAATTCAACATGGATGATAAGGTATGGTTACTCTATTATAATATGAAGACTACTCATCCTTATGATAAGTTGGACTATCATAAGCTGGAACCTTTTTCTATTTGTAAACAAGTCCATTTTGATGCTTATCAATTACATCTATCAGAGTCTATGAAGATCCATTCTATATTTCATATGTCTCTTTTTAAGCCATATAAGATAGTAAATATCTTGGAAAGAAGACAAATTCCACCTCCTATTATAGAAGTAGATAATAATCAAGAGTACAAAGTAGAAGAAGTCTTTGATTGAAGGTAATATCAAAATAGATTGAAATATCTTATTTATTACTACGGATATGATATAAATGAACATACATGGAAGCAAGAAAAGAATCTTAAAAGTGCAACAAAGAGAGTTGAGGCTTTTCATCAATGACATCCTTCAAAATTAAGATGAAAAATAGCAAATCTTTTTTAAAAAAGAAATAAGATCCAAAAAAGAAGTCATTCTACCTTTTATCCTTGTATGTAGTTTTTGTGTATTTATGACATTAAGGAGATGGGGAACCAATAATGAGTAGATTTAACTAAAGAGCTTTTATTTGTTGAATTACTAGACAAGGTATTGTAATTGTCACAACCTTCAAGATGATGTAATCGAGATGAAGATCTTCAAGAACAACATGTCTTGCCTCAAATAGATGGAAAAATACAATGTGTTTGATATCACAACTTTTGAAGAGACTTTTGATGTTTGGTGATTTTATTATAGATAGAAAAAATTATTGACAGTATTCCAAACATTTAATTTGAAAGAAGTTACAAAGGCCTCAACAACAATCAAATAACAGGGTGGTCTTCCTACCTTAGTATGGAACATTATTGATGGCTAAGAGGACCTATGAATCATCTTTGAAGAAAACAAAGATCATAATATGTAACAAACAAAATTTGCCACATATTGCATTTCTTCAATATATGAAAATTGTTCCTTGTGGAACTCGTCCCTAGAATGGGAAATAATGTCATGAAAATACATACTTATTTTAATATTTATCTATATGATTAAGTAGAAATAAATAAAAATAAATTTATTTCATTACATTTTTTAGAAAAGCTTCTTAAAAGCTTTATAGATAATGCTTTGACTTTACATGTATTTGTAGTTGATCAAAAGGCTAGAAACTTGATCAACAAGTTAACCACGTGTTGATAGCTTACACAACAAGTTAACTATGTGGAACACATATAGAAAATTTGCTTTGCAAGTTAAGATACATGTTTTGTAAAGTTAATACGTTTTTGAGGTCCTATAGGACATTGCCATATAGCTCCTAGTTAAGAGTATGTATAGAGGCAAGACTAAAGTATTCTTCATTCTCGTCAATACCTTTTTATTACTTAGTCTTGTTTTAAGACTTTCTAATCTTCTTGTCTTTGACAATAGCCATTTTAGTTTAATATTATGTCATCTTTGAATAATTTTCTAGGCTTTTTGAATGACATAATATTGTATTAAGGATTTCTTTCTTGAGGATTCATGTCTTTGATATCAAAAGAATGCACTTCTATATAAAAGTACGCTTATAAATCCAACTTGATTAAATCCATCACGGTATTGAAAGAGATACAATGTTAAATAGAGCTTGATTTATTGTAGAAATCCTCAAATTTTTGATCTTATTCTATCAAACTTCTCAAGCATACTAATCCTTATCCCATGGTATTTATAAAAATAAAAAAATTTAAATTTAATTCCAAGGTTAATATACTTACTTCTTTCAACTGTACAACTTTTTAATATTGACTAAGAACTTCCTTCATAGGCCTAAGATTAGTGTTTCCATAATTGATAATAATAATGCTTCAAAATTTCCATCCTAAGAATATTGAGAAGTTTGTGAAGATCTGTAATAGTTAAAAATCTATTTACACTTTTGACAAATGAAGCATCTATAATTTTTTCTTTTATTTTAAACAACTTAATAAATCTACAAGTCAAATTAGAAGAAGATAATGTGGAACCTTCAATATCAAAAGAAAGATAATCCGCTCTTTTTAAGGAAAAAAAATCAATGTAAAAAAATTAAATGATTTGTTTAAAGTTAGATAATTTTTAATCTTTAAAACAAAACAATATAAGTGAGGTAATCTACTAACTTCTAAAACAAGACAAAAACAATGAGTTAACACTCATATCAAACTATCAAAGACATAAATCTTGAAGAAAGAAATAATTAATACAATATTATGTCACTCAAAAAGCCTAGAAAATTATTCAAAGATGACATAATATTAAACTAAAATGGCTATTGTCAAAGACAAGAAGATTAGAAAGTCTTAAAACAAGACTAAGTAATAAAAAGGTATTGACAAGAGTGAAGAATACTTTAGTCTTGCCTCTATACATACTCTTAACTAGGAGCTATATGGCAATGTCCTATAGGACCTCAAAAACGTATTAACTTTACAAAACATGTATCTTAACTTGCAAAGCAAATTTTCTATATGTGTCCCACATAGTTAACTTGTTCTGTAAGCTATCAACACGTGGTTAACTTGTTGATCAAGTTTCTAGCCTTTCAATCAACTACAAATACATGAAAAGTCAAAGCATCATCTATAAAGCTTTTAGGAAGCTTTTCTAAAAAATATAGTGAAATAAATTTGTTTTTATTTACTTCTATTTAATTATAAAGATAAATATTAAAATAAATATGTATGTCTGTGATAATAATTTTTAATGATTTTAGCATTAATTTTAGTGATTTTGGCATCACTTGACAAGCAAAATTTTATTGTATTATAAATATTGTTATAGATATCACATTTGAATTAATAGAAATCTCATAAGGTTATGTTTTTATTAGATTTTTTATGTAGTTTTTGATATATTTAAATTAAAAAATTCTCTCTTATCAATATCTTTATTGATTATAGCCAACTTGCTTGTTTTTACTTATTTAATGCTTTTGTTATTTCTTATGTCAAATCAACCCTAATGCTCATGAGATCTACTTATATATTTATAGGAATCTCTTGTTAAGGTTCTACCTTCTTTCAATTTGTTAATAAAAGATTCTACTTATTTTATTCTAGTCAATTTTTATAATTTTTTTATTATATATCTACATACATATAGATCCAAGTTAAAAATAAATTAATGATAATTCTTCTAAACAATACCAAAGCATTTTCTAAACTACCTAATCAAACTTGTCAATTGATTATGAGACAAGCTTGACTAAGGATAAAACCAAACCTTAAGTTCTTTTGTGTATATTTTTTGAATTCATGGTTTTCATTGTCAATAATTTTGAGTTGTTTTTCCAAAAGATATAAGATTTAAAATAATTAGTCATATAATTTATTTATCATTGATTCTCATTCCAAAAGCATATCTATATGATAAAAAAAGAAAAAGAAAAAAAGAAAAAAATATATATTTTATTTATTTTTTATATCCAGGTGAGATTTTGCCTCCTCCCATTCATCTTCAATCGCTGTCCCTCGCAAATCGCTCTGTTGAAACCCTAAAACACAACCTAACTCGTCCACACCGGTTTCGTGGACTTGGCTCTGGACATGGCGGCGGTGCAACTGTCCCGTCGCCGCGTGTTGTGCAGGACGAAGCCCTCCAAGGACGTGTCGTCCATCTCATGGAACTACGAAAGTGTTCGGAAGGTGGGGGACAATCGCCGAGAAAAACATTGCATTTCGAAGGTATTCTTACGAAGCTTCCACCAACCCGAAAGGACGAGATTCCGTCATTCGTACTGTACGAATTCAAGAGTCTGAAAAGGCATTCGGGTATTCGAAGTATCTTATTACGTGATGCGCTTGCAAGCGGGCCCCTGAAGAGGTGACCAATCGCTGGAAATCGTTTCGGGCTTGAACTCGTGATTTGCTGGCCACTTGATGTGCCTTTCCCTCACTGGAATGTAATGAAGCTGCCTGTGAAAAATCCATGAGAGATAAATATCCAAGAAGTTTCAAGGAAGTCTCTTGATGGTTTGAGTTCCATTAAGAGGGTTCATCGGGCTGGAGCTATCTTCATTCGAGTCACCGATGGTCCGTACTTTGGGTACACATCGTGGTCTGGTTGAGTGCCAATAAAGGTTGTTGGTGGAGTGTGGAGTGCACGCTGACTGCGCGCGGGTTCGATAACAGGTGGTTTTCTCGTCTTCGTGGTGTAATTGGTAGTGGGACGCATTGGCACAGTCGAGGTCGGGTCAATCCGAGGTGATGGAAGTAGGCAACACGAAGATGTCGCAGGATCTGACTGCGTCTGCCGTGAAGGATCTGGAGGATGTATTCAAGATGCTTGATAGAAATGGTGACGGGAAGATCTCGAAAACGGAGTTGGGCGCGGTGCTCGGGTCGCTTGGAGAGATCTTAACCGACCCCGAGCTGGAGCAAATGATAAGGGAGGTGGATGTCGACGGGGATGGAGGAATCGACCTCCAGGAGTTTATTAAACTGAACGCCGAGTGTGTGGATGCGAAGAGATTGACCGCGGAAGGAGAGGCTGATTCCCATATCGAAGAGGCTCTTCAATCGGCATTCAATGTATTCGATTCTGATAACGATGGGTTCATCTCCGCGGGTGAACTTCACAGGGTGTTGTCAAGCCTCGGTGACGATAACATTTCCTTGGATGATTGTCGATACATGATTAGTTGCGTCGACGCGGACGGCGATCAGTTGGTTGATTTTAAAGAGTTTCGGAAGTTGATGAATGGTCACGTCACTCAATAACAGCTTTGTTATTCAGTACAGAAGCGTGAGCCTAGTTCAGATTAGTTTTTAAACAACGGAATTCTGGGTTTGATTTTCTTTTTAACACATTTTACAATTTTGTGGATTCTGAACTGGATATCTGGACCAGATTGTGAATTAGGACATGTGGTCATAGATAGTCTGCTTCCAAAGGCTTTGTGTCTGATAGAGAGCCACTGATTTTGAGTGATCACCTACTACTCTGGATGAACTTGATTGTCGCTTAGCCTGAAGAGTGTAGAGGGTCTTACAAGCAAGCTTTTGAAATGTAACATTTTTATGGAGAATAATGCAACAAATCCGGTTTCAACACAGACAATCATTCCAATAGTCAGGGGCGTAGTAAAGCGAGTGTCTTCTCTTTGGGTATGAACACACAGAATGCGCTTCAGAGCTTCTCGTAATGTGGGAGCTCGGAAGCATACACCCAAGTCGTAATGATTATTAGTCTCCCAACTCAATCCAGAATCTTCGAGTGAAGGAAAAACAGCCCCCACCTAAGGAATCGAAGTGTTTATTCACCTTCAATTACGTAAGCAGAGGGACGCGAAACACACGGACTTATCTGTTCTCAACAATAGATACTACGTTGCGGCGACACAAGTTCAGCTCCGATCCCGCCTTAATATCGTTCAGTCGAACGTTTCGGAGCGCACACTGCGCGGGACAGCAGCTTCGCAGGTCCGGATCGTCCCGGACAGCGCCTACTGAGTTCCACAGGCAGCATCAAATACTCAAGTCATGTTCTGTCCGTCTCTGTCCACAGAGGGTTCGTTGCGGATATCTCTGTCAACATCCAGCGATTCTCAGCATCGCGAAAATTCAATCCCCTGGCCAGCATTACCATTTTCTCAGAGATTCTTCATTCCGTGTCGGAATCAGATGTACTCTTTGAAGATTTCTTCGGTTCTACCGCTGGATTGCGTGGGAAGTAGCCACTTTCGAGATTGATGCCTGAATCCATCTTTATTAACCCGTTGATTTCCCAGCTTTGCAGAGTTTGAACTCGTAAAGCAGCATTGGATGTTCACCAACCGTGAATCCTGAACTCGGATCCAGATGGGGCGAATCACCGACATTCAGGTTCACCGATCAATAATGCCGTTTTCTTCAGCGAGATGGGCGTGGTGAGAACGTGCGAGCGACGCATGACACCACAGTGCCTGTTTTCATCCGTCGTCTTTTTTCTTCCACTTCACTCACGGATGAGTATCATCGATCACGAAAAACTGGAATAGCTTTTATTGCTTGTCATTTGTGGAACAAGAGTGTAAAAGAATTTTATAAGACATTACAATGAGCTTGTTCATGATATCTTTAGAATCTTCTATGTAAAATAGTTTGGGTGTAAGATAAAGAGACAAAGAAGCCTTTTCATTGGCCAAACATGGAAACAAAAGTACATGGACAAACCAAAACTTATATAGTGCTAGAGATTGTGATGCCTAACAATATGGGTTTTTGCTAGTATATATATATATATATACGTTGATATACATCAAAATTACGAATTTTTTTCTTCAACTCTAATTGCAATTTGTTAAAATTTATAAATGTTTCATATAAAACATGCTTCTCTAAAGCATAAAGCATAAAGCAAAAAAGATATTGAATGATTGCCTTGATACCAAATGAAAATGTTATTGGTTGTAATATAATTTGCATCATTTTTTCCATATATAAAATAGATTTTTTCTAAGAAAGTTTGTAAATTATTTAATATTAGATTATATTGTTGAAGAAAAGATGAAAATTGTGATAATATAGAACTTAAAAGCAATGTTTCAATAAACCTAATTTATGATTTGAGAGTTGAATAAATCTGAGATTAAAGCTCAATCACTAATTGTACTTAATTAACAATTTTTTTTAAAATTTGATCTTATATAATCAAACTTTTTAAGTAAAGTAACTCTTGATTCAAGTTTAGGATTTAGGGTTTAGATGATTACTTTCATTTGGAATAACTTGTAGAAAATAATTAAGTATAAAAAAATTCTATAAAAAATAAAAATTAAAAAGTGGATTCTATATAATTTTTATACTATGTAATATATATATATATATATATATATATATATATATATATATATATATTTAAGAAGGAATTGAAATAAATATTTTTAAAAAGAAGAATATTTGAGATTCTTGAAATTAGATTGGAAGTAAAAAAAGAACTGACATGATATAGAAAAACCTCATTCTTTCCTCGATATCTACTATTTATCCAAAGATCTAAGTTGTGACATTCTATAGATCTTCTAGCACATGTCCAACTTGCTTGACAAATGTGTGACTTGTAAGAGAAGTTTCCAACATGTGCACTACATAACCAATTTGTATTACAAGTGACTAATTTGTAAAACAAGTGGTCAATATATAAAATGTATAGTCAACTTTTTGGCCAAATTTTTAATCAATCAATTACCTACAAATACATTAAAGATAAAGCTCTTTTAGTAATCGTATTAATCTATTATTATGTAGGATCTAGAGGCAGTATTTCTTAAGGAAGTTTCAAGGACTTTTAAGAACTTCTTAGACAAATTGTATAAATCTACAAGGTTTGGCATCAAGATGAATTTGAAGTCTAATTTTGAAAGCAGTTTGGTTCTTTTTTCAAAAAAATCATCATTATCAAGGATAGAAGTGTTATTTGTGGTTAGATCCCATGATAAGAAGTTGATTTCTCCAACTTTCAATATATCACACTTTACAATGTCATATAGTGTGATTTTTTATTTAGGAATACATCGGATACCTAGCTGTAGAAAATTTAGCTTTAACTTATTACACAAGTTCTAGTAAGTCATGTATTCATATTATAAATGCTAAATAAATATAATAATATCAAAAGATATTTTGCTAATAAAACTTTTTTATATTTAAGAAGCTTAATATATAAGGCTTTCTAAAGCATCTCAAAATGCTCTAATATCCTTTTTTATATCAAATCATAATTAATTAAATGCCAATGAATTTGATTTTCCATAAGCTCAAAGAAAATCCATAATCTTTTTTTACAGAAATTCATCTTTATATCATAAATTTTTTCATAGCTCCATATCTCTATCTTTCACATAAATATAAAGTCTTGGCTTCCAAAAAGCCTTCTACTTTGTATAAAACCCTCAAATTATAGTAAAATCCTTTTAATACATTTTTCTCTTGTAAAAGTTTTTTTCTCTCTAAACTTTAGAAATTTATATCTCTTGATCCAAAAATTCAATTTTTCTCAAGTTTTTTTGAAAATATAGACTTTATCCTTAAGTTTTACAACAAAAAGAAATATATATAAATCTACTACACATTCTTTGACATCTTAGAAATCCTAATAGATGCTTTAAATCCTAATTCATAAGCACCTAAATACTACTTTCTCTTTATCTCAAAAATCCAAAATTTAAGTAGTACATAATTTATGTATAAAGTTTTATAACATGATTATATACATTTTTAGAAATTTTTAGCCAAAATCTTATCAAATTGCTCAAGATATAGCTCAAACACAACTAGTAGTAAATTGGGTCACATATTGCCCTTAGATTAGAAGCACTAACTTCAACTTTATATAACTCCTTCATTCTAATTTAGAATTCATCAACTAGTCATAAAAAGTGTAGCCAAAAAAGTGTTCTTTGTAATCTTAGTTGTCAATCTTTCATTGTTTTTTGTATATGCGCATTATGTCTAAAAGAATGATAATAGGTACAAAATCAACACCTTAACTTTGAGCATGTATATCTCTTTTATCAAATCACACAAAATTTGCACCAAAACCATAGCCAAAAATCTAAACTCTTTGATTCTAGCCTTGAAAGTTTAAATGGCCTTAAAAGAATAACCTTAATCCCTAATAAGATCTTAGGCAACCTCCTTGAAGACCATTGGACATGAATTTTGGCCATTAAGAATGGAGTTTTTTATCATCTATCTCCGTTCATCTATACAGATGTCCTAACTACTCTTTTTTCTATCAAAACTCCTCTCTAACTTTTTTACTTATAAGATTTACATAATATATACCTTAAACACTAAATAAAATAAACAAAATAAGATTTTAAGAGTCACCAATGTCTAATAAAGGTCGTTTTAAATATTTAAAACTATTATCAACATAAAATCAACTTCAATAATAATCTTTTTAAACTAACCACTTCAAAGTAGTAATATAATCACATTTTATAACAAACTAAAATCTAATAATATGAATTTCATTACATTATATAATAAATTATATATTAGATATATATGTGCATTATTTTTATAAGGTAGCAAAATCACAACATGATAATAATTTCTTCCAAGTTAAATTTTATCTTAGTTGAATTTGTCATCAATTCACATATATCCAAGGATAAATCTTCCACAGATGTTGTCAATGTATATGTATCAAGGACATGAACTTCAAAGAAAGATAATCTCAATACTCTCTTGTGTTACTCGAAAATACTTAGAAATCACTCAAAGGTGATAATATATTGAATTAAAATGGCTATTGCCAAAGTCTAGAAAACATGATGACTCTTGAAACTAGACTGGAAATAAAAAAGGAGTTGACAAGAGTGAAGAAGGCTTCACTCTTTTTTTTATATATACTATCTAACTAGGGGCTATGTGGCGACGTTCTATAGGACCTCGAATATGTGTTGACTTTGTAAGACACATGTCTTGACTTACAAGGCAAGTTTTTCTACGTATAGGCCACATAGTTAGCTTGGTCTTCAAGCTAACAACATGTATGGCACATGGCCAACTTGTTGACCACGTTTCTAATCCAAAAAGTCAATTAAAGACACCTATGAAGTCAAAGTAGCATCTATGAAGCTTCTAAAAAGCTTCCATATCAAATACTATAGAATTAACTTACTTTTATTTACTTTTATTTACTTCTACTTATTTATATATGTAATTACTAGTTTACATGAGTATGTCCATGACATTACCTCCTACTTCTAGAGACGAGTTCCACGAGGAGTGGTCATCATATGTTGAAAAAATCTATAATGCGATGAATTGTATTTGCCACAAACTCTAATCTTTGTTCTCTTCGAAGATGATTGATAGGGCCTCTCAACCATCGGTAGTGTCCCATACTAGGGCGGGAAGACCACCTAGTTATTTGGTTGTTATTGAGGCCTTTATAACTTCCTTCGAATAAAATATTTCGAATACCATCAGGAGTTGTTCCTACCTCTAGTAAAATCACCAAACATCAGGAGTCCCTTGCAAGGTCGTGATATCAAACGCGTTGTATCTCGCCATCTATTCGAGGAAGAACATATCATTCTTGAAGATCTTCATCTCGATTGCATCGTC